TTAAACAAATGCTTCTACTGAAGTGGAGAAAGCTTATATCGGCTTTTTCAGTTTGTATAGCAGTTATAGGATATATCGATCCGATTTCGAATAATCCGTCAAATGAAAAGGCACACTCTCAAAAAGTATGTGTACTCACCTATATAATGTATGTTTGATAATGAACTCAACTTTTCGAGCTGATCAAGAATATACATAATATAATTGATGGGATCTGATGCGACCTTATAGGGTCCTTCAATGTTCTACAACTTGTTATAAAAACTTTATATTTAAGGTAGTCTCCATTAGATAGTATAAACATTTGTCACCGTAGTTTTGGTGTAACGTCTCTTAAAACGTCTTAAAGAATGATCTTGAGCTTCTTCTGAGATTTCCCCTTCAAGTTATAAAGCAAGTGTTAAGTGTACATTTATTTTCATAGATATTGAATTTTCAAGATTTAATAAAAATGATAAATGATTAAATTTGTATTCATCATAATAAAACTACAAAACATTGCTATGTTGTACAATATCCTTAAACTTGTACTTAAATTTGCATTAAACGTTTCATTACTTATTGATTAGTTTTGCTTAAGATGAAAACCAATTTAAACCAATATAAAACCAAAATTTAATATTACGTAGGCATTAAGGTAATAAATGAAAATTTCATAAAACATAGCCATAGACAAAAGGGTGTTTCTGGATATAGCTTCATAATCTTATTTTCAAATTCTATTCTAATTTTTATAATTCTATTCAACAAAAAGTTGTTAAATAACTTAAAATTAAAAGCTTTATAAATATATAAAATATTTATCCCGACATTACTAAAATAGTAAACCTATAAATATATAAAAAAAAGTGCTCAGTAAAAGTGCTTTGAGTGTTATCTTCTGAGTTCCTTAATATGTTTATACACTATAAGCGAGTTTCATATAAAATTGCATCAAAAATTTAGGGCAACCCCCTGTCAACTGTACAAAAGCCTGACTACGTTATTGAAATGAAGGAAAATTTAATCTTATCTTTATATTAGTCTTTATTTAACAAATAATCTCAGATATTATCAAAGCAAACAATATACAAGTTAATTGCATCAAACTGCATCAGTAGCATATCTGCGCAATGAAACATGACTAAGTAATTGCAACTTCAGGCTTAAATGCATTTATTGCGGTTAAGTCAACATTTGCAGAAAATTTATATACTCATATATATATATATATGTATATATAAACAAGATATACGATAATACATGTTCTATTTTAGTGTTATATTGAATAGCTTTAACCTTTAAATTATATTATATCAACAAGGTATAGAGCAAGGTAGAAATATTTGTAGTATGAATAAGTTTGGTATAAATTCTATTGGGAACTTCGTTGCATTATTAATTCAAGAAGCCAATATGATATTTAGTATTTATTTAAAGAAAATTATTTTGAATTTTGTGATTCGTAATATTAATAAAACCAAATTCCAATTAAAGATACATTTTGTATGCAGCAATCATTCAATTAGACAAAACTAATATTGGGAATGCTGTATTTAGTATTTATTGAAGTGATAATTTTATATTAAATTATTAGTTATTTATTGTTATTAATATGTATGTTATAACAAATTAATTATTGTTATTACAAAACAATATCTTTTTGTTTGTAATAATAATATTTACTTGGTAATTTAGGTAAATATGTACCTTGTTCTATCAACTTTAAATAAAATATTATTTTTGTATATCTAATAAAACAAAGAAGTCAGAAACTTCTTAAAGAAATTAGTATCGCTTCATTAGTACAAATGGTTATTACTAAATTTACTGAATATTTTTAATTTTTTATAAAAATCAAGCAAAGATAGTTAAATGATTTTCTCAATTAACTTAAATGCTTCTTTGATTTAAGCGTATCTCAACCAATATACCAAATACATGACATGCGAAACAGTACAGCAAGGTATAAGCTGAGATATCTAAATACTTGGCATGTCTCATTTTTATAATACTGAGGGATAAAAATTCAGCGGCTACGCTGGCTTGGTCATGTCGTGCGAATGAAAGAATAAAATAAAGTGCTCCGGCTAGAAAGGTATTTGATTTGGTACCCGTAGGTGGAAAACGCGGTAGAGCACGTCCGCTTCTTTGGTGGAAGGACCAGGTAACCAACGATTTGGGGGCTCTCGGTACTACCAACTGGCGTTAGAAAGCAACTATTCCGGCTGACTGACGGAGGCAATTTGAAACGACCAAGGACGACCCACGTCTATAATGGCCAATTAAGTAAGTAGGGATTGGTTTGTGCTATAATATAATATAAACTCTGACAAATACACTTAGTTAAGTATATTCATCTTCCGAATTGATCAGAGATGTTTTGGATACATAAAAATGGTAGCGTCTCCTGCACTGCATTAAAAAATATCTATTATATGTTTTTTCCATATCTTATATATGAAGAGAGTAAATATTTTTTAAAAGTGTTTGTGTGCTGTTTGACTCAGATTGTCTGTTGACCCTCAGATACCTTTCCGTTTACCGTTGTACGCTGCTTTAATATAGTTAAAATCAAACCGAATGAGCTAAATTTTTTTTGATTTTATTGAAATTGCATCTAGTCTACTTAAACTAATTAGCAATATTGATATGGCGGGACTCAAAATAGTCGACATTAAACTAAATAAAATATCTATAATAAAATATTTTACTTATAATGCATAATGTGTTTTAGGATAACAAATTAAATGACTTAATTCGTTTAAGTCGACGTATTAGTCCTTCTGTAGAAAAAGAAAAGATGATGCTAAATAACAATGAGCTAAATAATAATCAAAAATCAAAAGTACGATTACTTCTGCTGTTTAAATAAAATATTAGTTGAAGATGAAGATGGTAATGAAGATGATCTAATAAACATATATATATTGTATACATGCGTAAATCAAATTAAACTGATTCACCACAAGTTGAGTCCATAAAATAATTTTGCTTTATCAATTTATCTTTTCAAACCACTAAAAAATTCTCTAAAGCAATTATCTAAAAAATTGTCTAAAACAAAAAATTAAATCCAAATTTATTATGAAAACCACCTTAAAATTCATGAACTTAGTATTGAATAAACATTTTTAGTAATAAATAATATTTTATCGACATTTGTAAGAAATCAAATTCTGCAAAAGAACATTTAATTTGTACGGAAATATGAGAATCAATTTTTCACAGATTTTATTCCAATTTCTTTTCTATTGAATGCCTAAAGCTCTTCTTTCGTTTTAACTTTAAATTTTATTTTAATTCCTTTTTTGCTATAGAATTTTTAACTGAAATTACAGCAACCAATAAATAACAAAAGCACCTGAATAATCACAATTCCCAACGACCATAATCTCCAAAAATTGCCAACAATTGAGAAAACTTGCCACAAAAATGTTCGAATAAAATTTTATTGAAGCGTATCATTGTGATATTACGGGTACCTAAATCAGAAAATAAAACCACACCTCTATGGTTATCTAGAATAAAATAAAATGCAATAAAACAATATAAAATATGCACCAGTAAAGAGCAAACAACAAACAACAAACAACAAACAACAGACAACAGATAAACATCAACAGCACCATGACAACAAGCACAGCCATTGTAATAGCAACGTTATCGACAACATCACCAGTAACAACAGCAACAGAATGCCTACTTGTTTCATTGCTGGCAAATGTGCAACAATAATTGCCACAATAATTTAAGTGAGGCAATTGAAAATGAATTTAAGCTAACAGCAACGCATTGCAAATTTGCAAACAACAATGAATATTGCATGCAACATACAAATTAAGTATCTACAAGATTAAAATCCAAATAGAGTTAATCGAAGAGGGGGCGTAACGATTCCACGAATCAATCAATAGTCATGAAATGCAATTTAATTATTTACTTTATTTACTCACATTTAAGAGTTTTAACATTTTGCATTGAAACTGAACTTCAAGGTACCATTAACTTCGATACGAAATCGTTTAAAAGTAATTACGACTCGTAGTTATTCCACCAACAATAGAGCTTCGTCCGTACAAAGAGATTTAAAATTATATTCGAGGACATTGAATTACAGACAATGCAAGTACAAAATGAGTTCTATTGATTTTTGATTATTTTGCATATTTATCTAAATGAATACTATTGTTTTCTAAAAACAATTTTAATTACTTAAACAAATGAGATAGATAAAATCTGTAAGCCAGTAGAGAGAATACATTTCTTTATAGCAACATTTATATACATACATATATGCACTAAGGGATCAAATAGGGAAGTGATTGCGAAGCAACTATGAATTGCTGATAAGAGGTTTACAGCCTCCACCTGCACCTGGTGACCCTGCTAAGCCTAGCACCCTGGTCTAAAATTGCTTACCCAACCCCAGTGGGATTTCGAAAGAAGAATGCTGAAAGTTCAGTATATATATGCTAGCTTGGTGTATAGTGCGTTGTGGTGGTGGCGCATGAATTAAAACAAAAGTCAACGGATTCAATTAGGGAAATCTACCGAGCTATGCTTCGCGTTAAAGTGGCAGATTAACCGAATGATATCATTTTTTTTTTGAACCCGAAAAACGGTAAAAATCCGCCCTTCCCTTTTACCGCCTTGTGTTCCAATAAGAGTGATAGTTAAACACATATCTGTATATTTGTTATCAATAAGGAATTGCAAGGAAATCTTCTGCATAGTCTAATATATAAGACACTATAGATTATTATTATTATTATTATTATTGTGTTCGGGTCTTCAAATTCCTGAACTTAAATTAGTTTTTTAACAAGTCGAAGCAAAACATATGTGTAACATATGTGTACCTCTTAAACCCATTTTTGCGGAAGATATTTAATTTTATTTTATCTTGTCATTAATTCAGTGTAGATTTCTACTAGTTCACACTGTTGATCCTTAAAACAGTTTTCACCTTGTTTCGTTTACTATTTAATGTATCTATAGTAATAGAAAATTTGCTAATAAAACTTGTAATAGCGTTGTTGTTGTTACTGCTAAAGCTCTCTATTTCTTAAGTTAAGTTCCACAAGTAAATTCGTTCTTATTTCCCGTCATAATGTTATATGTAATTATTATAGTTAAGGGATGTGGCACTGCGATTGTCGAGACTATTGTGCCCCTTTCTGGGTTGAGAGTGCGTTTCTAAGCTTTGTTGCATCAA